GCTGCAGAACATTGTAGCTACAGAGAATATGATTAGGCAACAGTGTAAGAAGACGCCAAATTGAAAGACCCCAGACCTAGATGGCGCGCAGGGGTTTGGATGAAGAAACTGACAACACTACACGATAGAATTGCGAATCAAATGGATGATATGACTAATGGCAGAACAGCCGTATCAAGCTGAATGATGTGCGGAAGAACTGCACTGTGTCAGAAAGATCTGCCAAAGGGTAATGCAATTGACAAGCACAGGCCTATTTTTCATTTCTCACATAAGTGAATATTGTTGCCTGTAATAATAGCAAAGAGGATGTATGAGTACCTTGAAAAAACAATATGTTGCCGGAAGAACCAAAAGGTTGTAGATAAACAACTTATTATAGACAAAATGATCTTGCATGGGTAGAACTACCGCAAGTCACATGACCTTGTTCCGGACTCGGGGATGTTGGAATGCTTAGAGCAAACCCAGATTTCCAGTATCAAGAAATGTATAACTAAGACCATGAAAAACTGGACAATAGAGTTAACATCATAAGGGGTAAAGGGAAACATCACATCTTGGGAAAGTTAACATTAGACAGGGGATCTTTCAAGGCGACAGTCTTTCGCCATTGTGTTTTGTAATTTGCATGATTCCTTTAACTAAGGTTCTTCGAAAGGCAAAGGCAGGTTATGCTATCAAAGAGTAAAATGTGAACCATCTATTGTTTATGGATGAATTGAAAATCTGTGGGAGGAGTTAAAGGGGGGATGACAGTCTGGTTAAGACAGTGCAAGGGATCAGTAAAGATTGGAATGGAATTCGGGATAAAGAAATGCTGTGCAGTGGCAATGAGTAGAGGGAAGGCGATTAAGGAAGTTGAAAAGAATGGCTACACGTATCTTTGGATATTGGAACTTGACAAAATCAAGGAAAAGGAAATGAAAGACCAATTTAAACGTGAATATTCGAGGACAAGAGTAATAGTTGATTAAAAAAATGGAAACAATATAATGAAGGCAATTAATACGTGGGCAATACCTCTTTTAATATATGTACGTGGTTTGCTGAAATGACCAAGGGAAGAAGTTGAATTGATGGGAAGGACTAGGAAACGAGTATGCATGACGCGCTGCAAGAATGTATAAACGCATGCACAGAGGGGAAGGCGGCAGATTTATTGCGAAGAGTGTATAAAAAGAGAACACCTTGGGTTCGTATGTAAAGCAAAACAATGAAACAGTGCTGAAGGCAGCAAGCATAAAAGCGACTATTAAAACCGAGGAGACTGTAAAACCAGAATTCAAAACAATGTAGATCCACAAGCCTGGGAGAAGAAAAGAATGCATGGACAATACATCTGAGAAATTGATGAATGGATTGATAAGTATATGATTGGCCTGGGGATGGCTCAAAACCGCGACTTGAAGGCCTGCACGGTAGCGTTAATACCTGCCGCACAAGTCCAATCTTAAGAACAAACTACGTGAAACACCATACTGTCAGCCATATCGTGAGCGAACGTGATGCTGGCCCAGCGAGAATATAAGAGAATGTATGATAAGATTACAAAGGATATCCACCGGGAGTTGTGTGGAGAGCTTAACTGAGAAAGAGCAAACGAGTGGCACCAACAAAACCGCAGGGAGTCACAAAAATGGGAATATCAAGGCATTGTGGGATTCCAACATTCAGTGCGACCATGAGATTGAAGCACGACGACCGGACTATGCGGCAGTAGATGAAGAGGCAAAGGAATGCAAAATCATTGATGTAGCGGTGTTTGAACACTCTCGAGTAAGGGTGAATGAGCGGGAAAAAATAAGAATATGGAGACCTGAAAAAGAACCAGCAATCCTATGGGACACGAAGAGAGTGGTTGTTATTCCGGGTCTCATGGGTGACCCGGGGGCGGCAGCATCGAAGGACGGTCAAATGGACGGAGAAAATTGGGGTTAACGTGAGAACGAGACACGTGCAAAAACAGCATTATTAGGAACAGTGAAAATACTAAGGATGGAAATGTAGAAGATGGACATGACACTTTTGTGTTTTCCCTTTAAGGCATAAGCCGGAATTCCATCTAATCCAAGATTATGAATATGATAATAACAATAATAATGATGATAATAATAAAATAATAACGATGATAAAGTTATAACGATAATAATAATAATAATAATAGTAATAATGATAATGATAATAATAATAATAATAATAATAAAGACAATGATAGTAGTAGTAATATTGATAATAATGATGATAATAATATAATATTAATAACAACAGCAATGATAATAATGATAATTTTCATAATAATGATAATGATAATGATGATATTGAAAGAATAACGACATTAATAGTGATAATGATAGTAATAAAACTGATATTTACAATAATAACAATAATGATAATTAAGATGATAATACGGATGATAATAGTGATAAAGATAATATAATAATTATGTAAATAACGCGAATGTTGTTAATGACAATAATAATAATAATAATAATAATAA